CCGTCAATGAGATTCTGTAATGGGTGCATCTCAATAGTCTGTCTTTTCTCCCGTCATGAGATTCTGTAATGGTGCAATCTCAATAGTCTGTCTTTTCTCCCCGTCATGAGATTCTGTAAATGGGGTTGCATCTCAATAGTCTGTCTTTTCTCCGTCTGAGATTCTGTAATGGGTGGGCATCTCAAATAGTTGTCTTGTCTAAAATTCAGTGATAGGCCTGTAATGGGTCTAGCTGGGCTGACCAATGATGTAGTAAGGTGCTCGGCCTTCCAAGTGGATAGATGGTGAAACAAAATCTTATCAATTGGATGAAATGACTAGGCCGTACATACTATGGACTTCAGAGGTTTTGAAAAAAAAAGATAGATTGAATAAGTTATTTTATTCCATTTGGTGGTCATGAATAGCAATGTTGAATAATAATTTCCTGACTGATTTGCCCAAGAGATTATACACTTGTCTATATTTGCTTTTAGGTGCATGGTTACCTGAAGTGAGGCCCACCCATCCCCAGAAACATGAGCCCCGCTGCAAGTACTGGCCAAAGCAACATGACCCGCTTCCTGCCCTCGCCCCAGTTGGGCAACGAAAGTAACCTGTCCAGCCTTCCCGCATGTAGCGAACGTGGATAGTGAACGTCTCTTCTCCGCCGCTTCCAAATGTTGTTCAGTGAACAGAGAAATAGGATCGGTACAGAGGAAAAGCAGAAAATGCTCCTGTTTGTTAAGCACCCAACATGTGGTCTGCTTCGCAAAGCCCCTGGGAAGGCCAAGGGTCAGGCAGCTAACCCTAAAGTACTTGGCAGTTACAGTAAGCTGTATTACTGTACTTACAGTTCAGAAGACTGCAAAAGCCTGTCCTGTTCAGTCCCAGTTTGTTGCTTTTTCATATTTGGCTTTGGCGCATTAAGCCTACCTACTGTATACCGTTTTTTTTGCTAAGTTTTAAACGTTGTACAATGTTCACAAGAATAATGACTTGGTTCTCAAGTTGAGTTAAATGTTTATTGGAGAAATACTCCCAGGGTTGGCTTTTATTCCATAGTGTGAAATTCAGGACACCACTTGTATCCCTTTATAAAAAAATATTTTTATGATAGAATATTTATTTTTTTTTCTTCCCCCTGAAAATCTGATGAGTCCATATTTTGCACACAGGTAAAAGGTGCCCAATGTCAGTTGCATTTTCTGAAAATAAAACACAAAAGGTTAAAAAAAAAAGCGTTTTGGAAAAAATGACTTTAATTTGATTATGCAGAGATATCGACATCGTAAATATTCGGATATCCGGCCATAACAGCAGATATTAATTATCCGGCTATGGTATCGGCAGCAAATTTTTCACCATCGGTGGCATGCACCTACTGCCCTGAATGCCCTTTCTGAAGTGTTGTTTAGGGTTGCTGAAATCCATGCAAGCCCGAGAAATCACAAGGCAGCTTTGAAAAGTTGTTGATCATAAAAAGATTAAACGGCTTTGCAGTACAAAGGCCGTAGCGCTATTTTTATAATGTATATCAGTTTAGGCTATATTTGTCCTTTCCTCCCCAAAGCAACGAGACCTCAAATAAGTTGAAGCAGAGCCGAGGGCTTAGCATTCAGTGGGCTGAATTGTGAAACACAACTTTGTCGCAGAAGAATGTACGAGATCCCGACAGAGAATACTTACCGAGCAGAGATGCAGACGGAGACAGATGAAGAAGTGAACCAACTGAACACGTAAGAATTTACATGGTCAGAGGTCTGGAGGCTGAACACAACCAATTTGATTCTCATACAAGCCATCTAAAGGGTAAAAAACACCAGACCTGGTAGAGCCTTGAAGGAAACTTACTGATGACTAGCAAGACGGAATTCATGCATTATTCAAGAATAATTATAATATTATTAAAAAATAATCATATATTGTTAATTTAATTTTTATTATTAGTAGTAGTATTATTAGTATGTAGTAGTAGTGAAGCAGCAGCAGTTAGTAGTAGGCAGCTAGTAGTAGGATAAGTAGAGCCGTCCTGTGTATGTAGAACTATGTGGCTGAGGTTCTGGACGGTAGCAGTAATTCCTCCATAAACAGGCCAACAGTCCACCTTAGGATCCTGAAGCAGAGAACTCTTCCCCACAGCCATCTTGGACCCGTGATCAATACAATTCATCCCCCCCTCAATCCAACCTACCAGACCAGCACAGACCAGACCAACTGGAATTCAAGAGAACTGGACTGACTTGATTAAAGAGGAGAGAACAAAAACTGATTCTGAATCTTAAAGAGCCTCAGTAAGCGATTGGACTGTCACAGCACCGTTCCTGAACCGTCTTTCGACTCAAAGTGCTGTACGGCTAACCACACCCTCCACCGCAGCCCACACTCATTTTATTACACTAAGTTGGGGTTCAGGTTTGGCTCCCCAAGGACCACGAAGAGGGCAGCAGGGATGAACAGGCCAACCCTTAATGATGTGGTGGAACGATCTGCTCTACACTTCTGCCCCCAATCAAATGCTTTACATTAAAATTGTTAAAAACCAAAATGGAAACTTGTAATAGACTCCCACTGAACTCCTTAAAGGTGGTAACAGTAAAAGAAAGCCCAGGAAGAAATGTTGCTGTTACCTCTTCCAGGAATTCAATATGGCAACAGATATATGGAGCTAATCTATACATATCCGCATTAATTTACTTAGTATGTACACCAGTATCTGCCCAACCTGTCCCAAATTGAGAAAACTAATTAAGCTGGAACGGCAGCTCACATTGCCTTTGAGAGGCCAAAAAACTCATCCAATATGAAGAATAAGGCAAACCAAAAACTTATTTTCATACTAGGAGGTCACACAAAGAAACAGCCCTTGGACTGTGGGCTGTAGGACAGCTGTAGTGAGAGTAGGGGCCGATCAACAGTGGAAAGTCCTCCTGAGAGAGAATAACACTTATTGGAGGATCCAATGTGACGACGCACAATGCAGAAAACCAGGAAAGTGAGTCAGGTTTTGTACAAGAACACTAATGTGACTGGATGACCTGTATAATTCGACTGTGACTGGATGCAAACTGTGTAATTCACTGTTGACTGGACCTGAAAACTGTGTAATTCACTGTGACTGGATGAAACTGTGTAATTCCACCTGTGACTTTGGATGAAACTGTGTAGTTTTTTATTCACTGTGACTGATGAAACCTGTATATCATTCACTGTGACTGGATGAAAACTAGTAATAAATTTCATGTGACTGGATGAAAACTGTGTAATTCACGTGTGACTGATGAAACTGTGTAATTCACTGTGACTGGAATGAAACTGTGTAATTCACTGTGACTGGATGAAACTGTGTTGATTTGTTAAACACCCCAGTTCTGTTCACTGACTACTAGGAGTTGTCCTTCAGTCCATGTGATCCCAGGGCTTCGCCCCCTTTGGACAGACTATTGAGATGCACCCATGTTAGTCGTGGCGTGCACCAGCAATCCTACAAGTTCAATAATAACTATGGACCGCAGTTTTTCATGAGATTGGACTGTCAATAAATGATCTGATCACACAAAGAAATGTGAAATACTTAATTTGAATAAAAGACTATAAAAGATTATCTGATTCAAATAGTATGGTAACCTAGCCTACCTGCACACTCGTTGGACCTGTTGCCTGTTCATCCTGTTCCTTTTCCTCCAGAATTTCATCGAACATGTCCAGGAATGAATGCCCTTCACTTGGCGTACACATCCTCTTTTCTTGTGGTTCACCTTCTTCAGCGTCTTCTGCGTCTGGTGTAGGCCCATCTGTGGCACTGGCGCTGGTCGTCGCTGACGCTGTCATCTTGTCCACTTCTTTCTCTAGCTTGTTTTTTGCCACTTGCTGCCGCCTCCAGCACCTGCTTCGGCACATTATGTGCCGTGTAAATTTATGCGCTCGTGCAAAAACAAACATCCCCGCCCCCACACTCACATCTAAGCCTACACACACATCAAATACACAGGAATGATTCACATCGGCCTGTTCACATCGGCCCTATTTTGACATCGGAACGATGCCGATGTGTAAAAAAATTACTATATTGGCCAATATTATATCGGCGGCCAATATATCGTGCACCACTAATTCAGAGAGTTTGTGCTTCCAATGTACAACATCACTTCCTGACCTCAAATATATTGCGCATTAGAGACTTTGAGAACACCTCCCACACCAAGGTAAGCAGCTTGTTCTTCTGTCTGAACCTTTGCTCAAGACCCCGGAGGTTTTAAACTCATCTGGGCCCTAGTAATGAGTCTCTGAAGACTAAAACAGTTGTAATAGTCCAGAATCAAGTCACTGAATTGGCCTGTTAAACCAGTGATGCTAGAGCTATAGAGGTATCATTGAGGTCCAGCTACAGAACAGCCAGATCTCCATGACCTTCCCTGACTTAGCTGACTGACCATTCCTGTGAACTCAGGACTCCCTCTCCGGGATCAGTGACTGTAGGTACAGAAGCTCCTCTTGTAAACCTTGTAAGGAACTCCACCAGGACCTGGCTGTGTCTGAGGAGGTAGAGCGGGTCGTCCACTACTCAGAAGGGTGGTGGTTCAATCCCTGGCTCTCCCTGCTGCATGTTGAAGTGTCCTTGAGCAAAATACTGAACCCCAAACTTTTCCATCAGTGTTTGAATGTGTGTGAATGGATAAATGTGACAGCGCTTTGAGTGGTCGGAAGACTGGAAAGGAGTAGAATTTACCTAGAACTGACCTTGTTCTGGACTGGTCCTGATCACCTTCTGGATCCCCCTCTGGGTTGGTTTCTTATACCGATCGCTCAGATCAGATCAGTGTTCGTGAAGAAGATCACAATGTGGGAACTGTTTCTCCTCAACCTGTCTGCTGTGAGCCACAGATTTTTACAAATCACCATCATGATGAAGTTATTTCAGCATCCTTTTGATCCGTTTATTGACATTAAAGAGAGAAAAAGAGACAGAGGTGCACAGGAACAGCTATACTAATAGAAATGACTGATGATGATGATGATGAAGATTAATGGGACAGTATATGAGTATAATAATATAATACAAACAACCTTACTGTTCCTGTACGGTAGTAGTGAGGTTGTACTGTATTAGTACTGTAGTAGTGAGGTTTTACTGTAGTAGTGATGTAGTACTGTAGTAGTACTGTAGTAGTGATGTAGTAGTGTAATAGTGATGTTGTACTGTAATAGTGATGTTGTACTGTGTACTGTACAGGCCCTACATGTCAGAGGGGACCCTCAGAGACCAGGTGATCTATCCAGATTCTGTGGAGGAGATGGTTCAGCGAGGAATCACAGATTCAGATCTGGAAGAGATCCTTCAGACCGTCCACCTGCTCTACATCCTGGACCGAGAGGGAGGTCAGTGTCTGTCTTTTGGATTATAAAATAAACAACATTGTTGTGAAGGACAATAGAGTATCCTTGAATCAGAAGTACTTTTACTGCAGTTCTGTAATATACAGATATAAAATATCCAAATACTTGATTTTATGATCATTATCATGCAGTAAAAGCAGTATAAATACACAGAGTACTACATATTGTACTGTGTTTGTCTGTCAGGTTGGGAGGCAGTCAGTGACTGGAAAGATGTTCTGTCTGGAGGAGAGAAACAGAGGATGGGAATGGCTCGCATGTTCTACCACTGGTAAATATTTACTGCTAACTACTGACTGCTAACTGCTGACTGCTGACTGCTGACTGTCTGTCTGTCTGTCTCTCTCTCTCTCTGTCTGTCTCTCTCTGTCTGTCTGTCTCTCTCTTTCTCTCTGTCTGTCTCTCTGTCTCTCTCTGTCTGTCCCTCTCTTTCTCTGTCTGTGTGAATGTCTCTCGCCCAGCCCTCGTTACGCTCTGTTGGACGAGTGTACGAGCGCCGTCAGCATCGACGTGGAGGGAAACATCTTTCAGGCTGCAAAGGATGCTGGGATAGCTTTGCTGTCAATCACACATAGACCCTCCCTGTGGTCAGTGAGCACACACACACAC